AAATATGACAATTTTATACATATACATTAAATATGACAATTTTATACATATACATTAATTAATATACAAAGTAAGAACACCAGGGCACAATTTTTAAAATGTAATGATCTCTGAAATTGTTTTGGACAAAGTTTTTGAGTCTGTTGCAATTGAAGGGGTTCGATTAAAGAGCTACTGATTCTTCTTTTATGACCTCAAATAGAAATGTAAAAATAATTGGATTCAACATAACAACACAACAAAAAAAACATGTTGCACATGGTTGGAAAATGGGATCAAAACAATTTTAATTTTAATCATTATTATGAACCAAAATTCATGTTGTTTTTGAAAACATTAGAAATCAATCCAAGTTCTAACACAATCACAGCTCAATCCAAATCTGTCCAAATCTGTCTCTATTTTGTGATAATAACTCCGAGGTCCTATCATTTTTTAAAATATACTCCGAGGTACCTTAAATTTTTAAAAAACTTACCGGAGGTGACATTAGGTCAATCTACCGTCCACACCAATTCCTCCGTCATCTTCTTCATCTTCCTCTACCTTTTTCTCATCTTCTTCGAGACTTTGACCTTCTCCTTTTTCTTCTTCTTATTCTTTTTTTCTTCTTCTTTCTTCTTTTCCTTTTTTCTTCCTCTTCTTCCGATCCCTTCTCTCGATTTGTCGCAGGCTCTCACACTCTCCTTTTTTCCTGGGAAAAATCTCAATATGCACCCTAGAAAAGTTAACAAAAAGTAATATGCACCCTCACTTTTCTCAAATTTCATAGCACACCCTCAGAAATTATAATAGCTTCCATTTAACCTTCCATCATCCCAATTCATCCATTGACGTTAACTGTTGTAGTAATGTTAGTGCCTCTTTAGCCCCTTCTAACATATAAATACGGAATGGAGTAAAGCTTAAAAATCCTAAACATCTTTTGGCTTCCACCCCGGTCGCATATGACGGCAAACCTCTGCAAATGCCCATAAACTCCGGCATCCATAAGCTGCTTCTGGAAATCCGTACTGCCTACAGCCACGACCGATGACACCAATGCACTGAGCGGACTGCATCAACTTTACAAGCAAGCCCATTTCAAATTCGCTCTTGTTCGTTTCACCAATGGGTAATAATTGCCGGAAGAAGCTAGGGTTACGATGTAAATTGCAGCCTTTTCTCAGGCAGAGGAATGACCGGAGAGGATCGAGGAGATGGAGCAGAACGAGAATAGCTCCCGAGGTTAATATTCTTGCAGTTAACGGCAATGGACGATAGGGGATGGTGGAAGGTTAGGTGGAAGCCATTATAACTTTTGAGGGTGCACTGCAAATTACTTTTTTACTACTTTTTGAGGGTGTATATTGAGATTTGCCCTTTTTTTCCATCTTTTATATAATAATAATTGTTACTCTCTTTGTCCACCATAGATCTTCCCAGATACTATTCACAGGGTCAAATTTAATTCACTTTATTTGTTTATTTTTACTACTCATTTCATAAAATAATATAGTGTTGTCACCTCTACTTTTGTAGAACTTTTTATGTAGTTTATTACCATATAAATTTTATATTAAAATTTTATCCACATATTTAAATAAATTGAATTATAAATAAAGTCGATCAAGCCTCGTAACGCGCAATGGGAAGATCTTAGGTGGACGAAGGGAGTATTATTTTAATTGTTATTTATTACTCCATATTATTATTACGGCCCGGTTCCATGGCCACTGGAATCCAGTGGCCACGGAACCGGGCCGTTATTATTATCATCAACAACTTTTTTTATGAACCATAAGTCGGTGCTATAGAGTAGTAGCTATTATTATTGTTACGGAGTATTATTTATTATTATTATTATTATTATTATTATTATTATTATTATCATCATCTTTTTTGTGAATCATAAAGCCGGTGCTACAACCAAATTTTCTTCTCAAACTTTGACCTTGATTTGCGAAAAAATCACTACGTTCTGATATTTATAAAGACAATAATAATAATAATAATAATAATAATAATAATAAAAAATGGGCAAGGTTCCCATGACATTGGGAACTAATGTCATGGGATGACCCGGGGGCGCTCCGGTGTCCCGTTCGTAAAATTAACGGTTCCTACCCCCCGGTAAATCCCCCACCCTGACCCGACCCGAACACACCTCCCACCCCCTTCAATTGCACCCCACAAGTTGATTTTGACTTTGGAGTCAACTCTAAAGTCAAAATCAACTTGTGGGGTGCAATTGAAGGGTGTGCGGGGTGTGTTCGGGTCGGGTTGGGGTGGGGGGATTTACCGGGGGTAGGAACCGTCAATTTTACGAACGGGACACCGGAGCGCCCCCGGGTCATCCCATGACATTGGTTCCCAATGTCATGGGAATCTTGGTGATAATAATAATAATAATAATAATAATAATAATAATAATAACAAAAAAGATGATGGTGATAATAATAATATATTAAAATAAGTAAAAAAAATGAGAGAGGGGTGGGGGGCTGCATCAAATCAAACGAAGGTATCACATGAAGAGAGAGAAAAAAAAGAAGAAAAGAAGAAGAAAGAGAAGGAGAAGGAGAAGAAAAAAATGAAGAAAAAGAAGAAGAACGAAAAAGAACGAAAAAGAACAAGAAGAGAAAGAACAAGAAGAAAGTCGAAGAAGATGTGAAAGAGGAAGAAGAAGATGACGGAGTAACGTAGATTGACGCAATGTCAACCCGGAGTAAGTTTTGGAAATTTTAAGATATCTCGTAGTATATTTTCAAAAATGATGGGACCTAGGAGTTATTATTACAAATTTGAAGGTACTTGGCAGCGATTTTTTTGTACAATCAATAGAACTAAAATGGATAATTGACATAATATTAGAGATAAACTAAGAAGGAATTGAAGTAAAACTCGAATTTTGATTTTATACCGACAAACAATTGTTGGACGTTGGAATTTGTTGGATTTGGTGCTGAAATTTTCGTACAATCACCGCAGGAAGTCATCGTTCTCTGTCCTTCTCCATCACCTAAATCGCTGAATTGATCGTTGTCAACTGCCGCTGCTCACTAATCGCCCTTGCTTTGCACCTTCGGCTTAGATATTGTAACAATCTTATACAATTTCCACAATAACTTTAATATTTTGTGGCAAATTTCTAATTGCCACATATATTTGTAGACTATTTATATATTGTTGCAAATATTAATTTTGCTATTAAAACTTTGCAACAAAAAATAATATTTTTTGTAATGTAATATCCAATTTCGAACCAAAAAATTATGTAACAACCTAATCCTTCCCGGTCTGCAGCCCCTTTCGGACTAAAGTATAAACTTGGTATTCATAAACATTCAAAATATTTCAAATATTTTAAAACTTTTTTCATAATAAATTATTCGGAATAATAACGGAGTATTTAAAGTTGCGGAAGCTTAATAAATCACAATTACAGATCATAATATATTTTATATCTTTTAAAATAACAATTCAAATTTTCACATCTATGTCGACCATCTCGCCCCATCTGCCGCCAGGAATACGTCACTTCATTCTTTTTATTTACCTGCCTGTTGCAAATAAAACATACTACACGCTCAATGTTATAGCTGAGTAAGCATATCTAATGCGTCGAACATTCATATAAATTGAATCTCAATTCATAATCAAATCATTTGATATCATGCACATAATGTCCAGTTCAGATATTCAATAATCAATATTCATCATTCAGCATTCATATTCAACATTCATAGTGTCAACAATGCTCATAAACTATTCTTAGTCTAAGGCGAATTCAGTTCTTAAACTAATTCTAGTTTAAGTTACCTTAATATTTACCAACTCTTAAATGAATTCTAGTTTAAGGTTCTTAAACTATATTTCAGTTTAAGGTACTCCTAATTAATCCTTAAGCTAGACCTAGTTTAAGATACAAATTTTCAAAAAGGTTTTAAAAATCTTAAAAATCTTAAACTTACCTTCGCTTAAGGTCAACCAGAAATCGACAACGGAATGCTCACAGTCGGGTTGGGTGGTATTCCCAAACGACTGAAACGAGTGATCCTCAAGTTTGGTTTGCGGATCCCGTAGTTACGTTTTTACTCAGGCCACCGAATATTCATAATTATACCCGCAAGGCCTATTTCTAATCTATCTTAGAGGTGTTCTAGATAGCATTAGATTCAGTGTCAGCATGGATATATCTTAGAGTTTTTCTAGATATCCTTACAATACAAATCATTTCATAATCATCAATGTATTCATTTTAAATCATGGTTCAAAATTTTTTTTGGTAAACTTACCTAAAATAATCCCACCTTTCACTTATTTTCGAAAAACAAGAATCTTTCAAAAATTTCATTAAATGACCATTAGTTTTTTTAACGGTGACCCAAAACTTGCACACATGCGAAAAGGTGGGATTATTTCTGGAGATAGTAAAAAGTGGAATTATATTTTGGAAGTGCACGAAAAGGTGAAATTATTTGAGATAATTTTTCATTTAAAATAATGATTTAATTAGTGATATATGAGAGTGGTTGGCTTTCAATATAGATATCAATTCCTTATATCGATATCGTCTAAAATTTCCGAGATATCAAAAATCCCAGTTTGGAGAATTTATGATGTCTAGAGATATCAAATTCAAGTTTATTTTATGTTTCATCAAAATCTAATGTTTTTTATAACAGATATCGGCACTAATATATTTTGTGCTCACCTAGTACTCCCTTTGTCCAAACATTATTTTTCCATTCACAATTTACAAGATCAAATTTTATTCACCTTATTGGCCTATTTTCATTGTCTATTTGATAAATCAATATACTTTTATCACATCTAATTTTGTAAATTTTTTCATTCTTTTGATGTGATTTTCACATATGAACTTTTATTTTTCTTAATTTTTTCTATTTTTCATATAAATTGATTTGAAAACAAATTCAGTCAAACATCGTAACGTGCAACAAGAAGATAATTTGACATTGGTTTTATGACTTGTTTTTTCAATCTATTTTTATTACTCATTCTTATTAAAATTAGTTCAATTCAGATTAGATCAGACCACAATATATTAAAACATATCAAAAATAATTTTAAATATAATTATATTCAGATTAAATCAGGAGATCAGATTTTCTTAGTGAGAGTGGTTCAAAGAATAGGCCCTAATCAAAGTCACAACGGGAGTAAAATACTACTCGTATTTGAACCAAGTCAACCAACCCATACCCGTTTCTCATTGTGGTCGGAAGTACGAACCCGCCCGACTCCGCCCATATTTTCCAAGAATCTTCTCTTCCGTCTTCCCTGAGACCCTTCTTCCATAGCAGACTCTCTCAGAGCGATCCCCTCTCGTAATTCATAGCGTCAGTCTCCATTCTTCAAGACTCAACCTCTCGCCGTTCATTTCCGGCGTCAATCTCCATTCTTCAAGACTCTTCAAGCTCTCGCAATTCATCTCCCTTTTCTTGTCAGCTTGTGCAACACGTACCTTCCCTCTGTCTAAATCCGCTTCAATCTTTATCCCCCAATCCGCTTCATCTCCCAGTAAGTACCAGAGTTCGTATAGAGCGATGTATATTTTGAAAATAAGGCTGTTTTTAGCTCTCTCCTTCTAGGGTTTTCTTTAATTTCCTTTCTTAAGCATATCACTCTGTATTTACGGAGTATTATTTATTTATATATTTATTTATCTCTATCAATGATTTTTAGTGGGCGGATGTTATTTAGTCTTGTTATGTTTTTGTATTCAAATAGTCCAGTGTTTAAAATGGGAAATTTGAAGGTTGAAGGGCGATAGAGATGGAGAATGGAGGGGGAAGTCTAGAGGATAAATTCGCCCGCCTGTGCATGCAGGATTCAGGCAACACCAGTGGGATCAAGAACGATGGGTTATTCCAGGTCATAAAAGCTGTAGAAGCAGCTGAAACCACTATCAAGCAACAGGTGTTTTTACTCTTGCCAGCCTATCTTTTTTGCATGTATAGACTCATAGCAACTACTAGGCATATAAATTCTTTCCTGTTGAGTTTTGTCTGGACTAGATAGTATTTATTGGAGTTTCAAACTTCAGAGAAGGTATACTATGGGCTATGGCTAGTGGTCAACTAAGATTTTAATGTTCCTGAAAACAATTCTAATTTTTGTAGCTTCATTGAGGTGAGAGCATTAACTGGTAAATATCTGAATTGATGTATGGATAAACTTATGAAGAAGCGATATGGTTGATTTGATATCACTATCACATATCAATCTCCATAATCCCTGTCCCAAAACTTTGACTTCACAGAGATTAAGAGTTTATTTGAAAAGATGTTGAATAGTGAAAAATTAGTGGTTAGAATTTGTTTAGAAGAGAGAAGTGTTTTGGAGCACATTCTTTTCTATAAAGGGAAAGATGAAAAGTGGGAAATCCTTTTTGGGACATCCCGAAATGGAAAGAGGGAAATACTTTTTGGTAAGGAGGGAGTATTTGGAACAGGGATGGCTTTCCTCCATAGCTATGTGGGATTATCACATGGGAAATATCTCAAGGTGGAAAAACCCATAGCTCTATGCCTTGCACCTTTTGTTTTTCAATCACCATTTATCAGGAAACAACTGTGCAATTCAGTAAATTACTCTTATATTTTTTGGCTAAAAATCAAACTTGGAAAAGTTGATGGTTCATAGTTTTTTTTTCCTTTTTTACACCAAAGGTAAAGTTCACAGACAAGACTTGTCTTTGGTGTACATGTGGTGTACACTTGGCGTACACCAAGCATCACCATTGTTCTTTAATTCTCTGTGTTTAACTTGTGCTTCTGATTTATCTCGTGCTTTTGGTTAATCTTGTATCTTCTTTTTACAGGTGGAAGAGAATAATCAATTAAGATTTGAACTTCAAAAAAAGATTCTGGAGCTTGAAACATATGTAAGTGATTTGACTGATTTCAGATGTGCACTTATTTGTGTAAAGTGGTCTTTATCTCTCACCATTATTTATATTCTTTTTTATGTATACTATTTGGTGCATCCACCTTCAACAGAAATCAGGTGGGCTGATAAGTGAGAATTGTCATTTACCTGAACAGTTGGCTGGATATCATCACCAGCTGCATGGAACATTTTCACATTTTGAAAATCAAACTGGTTTGCCCAATAATACTCCTAGACGTACTTTGTCTGATAATCTTGTCCAAAATGATGTATGCTCTACTCTACAAGAACATGGAGAAAGCAGCAGAGATCCTGACAATGCCAATGGCATACTTAGAGTGGTTTCTAGTGGTCAGAATCCTCCAGATCCTGCTGTATCATCATTTTTTCCCAGCAGGTATATGATGCAATGCTTAATTCCCAGGTCAAGTTTGGTTTGGAAATGTGGGATTGTGAATGTCTAAATGAAAAAATAAACAAACAAGCTATTTCTGTGGATGTTCGAGTTAATAATTTATATATTTTTTGGCACATAGCTCAAAAGTGACAATTGAACTGGCTTAGGTAGGTATCAAAAAGAAGGGGAACAAGATAGGTGGCTTAATGCACCTGGACATGGTCTGATGCCAATATCTGAATTAAATAATCCAAACAGTGTGAAGCAGGTACACGCTCTCTTTCGTTTTCTTCCGATAAGTTTTTAGTCCAAAAAAAGGATTGTTATCCTATTAAGTGATTATGAGCCTTTCTAAAACAAAGTATTAATGAGCCAGTTGATTGTAATCCTCTTTTCTGTTCCATGTTTAAATGCTTCTGAATTCTGATAGGATTCTTTCATGCAGATCCTGGATCAAGAACAAGAGATTTTACAACTTAGGAATCATCTTGGAGAATATTCAATCAAAGTATGGTGCCTTTTTTATTCAACACCATGGTCATATTCAATCATTCTCAATACTTTAAATTCGATTCGTGATTTGTATTCGAATATAATGATTCGAATTCGCATAATTCAAATACAAATTCAAATTCAAATATTAGTTTTGATTCGGATAGTAAACAAATACAAATAGAGTTGTATTCAATTCGGATGATATTCGAATATTCGAATACACACACAGAGATCATGTTTTCAACATCAGTGGTCAAGCAAACTAATATAGTATAAAGTGCATTTATATTACTAAGATTTAATCAAATTAACGTAACACAAAAATTTAAAGCATATGATTTTTAATAGTTATATTTTATAAAATATAATTTGTGTAAGGCGCAAATGTATTAATGTTTTTAGATATGGTATAAGAAATATTGTAAGTTAAATTATTCAAAATTGACATATAAATTATGGACTATGATTATTCGAATATTCGTTTAGGATTCGTTAACTATTTGAATATTAATCAAATTCAAATACAAATCTTATTTTTAATTCGTTTCATATTCGTATTCAAAAAAATTAAACAAATACAAATTCAAATATTTCGGTATTCGCTTCGATTCCGTTCGTTTACAAACTTATCGGGGTCTCTTGGAAACAGCCTCCCTACTTTCGAGTAGGGGTAAGGTCTATGTAAACACACCCTCCCCAAACCCTACTCTCGAGGGATTCAACTGAGCTGTTGTTATATTGTCATTATTTAATTAATGTACTGGCTGTGACAGGAAGCACAAATACGCAATGAGAAGTATGTTCTGGAAAAGCGTATTGCTTATATGCGTATGGTAGGAGAACCTTTATTTTTTCCGTGATATCACATTTTGTCTCTTTTTCTTCTTATAACTAGTCAAGAAGGTTTTCAATCAATTCTCCTTGCAGGCCTTTGACCAGCAGCAACAGGATCTGGTTGATGCTGCATCTAAAGCAATATCTTATAGACAAGATATCATTGAAGAAAATATACGCCTTGCATATGCATTGCAGGTAGAGGCTAGGGATATGCTTTTGCTTGGTGTGGCCTTTTCATGAATTTATACAGTTATACTTACTATGTCACATAATATGATAATTTGATATCTGTTTACATGCATAACATTATACTCCGTATGCATGAACGGTTGTTTGTTGTTAAGTATTATTTGATTGTGATTGTCTGTTGTTAAGTTTTTTTTGTTTGGGACTAAATTTTGGGCAAAAAACTACTTTGGGGTGGCTCAAGTTTTCTCGTAATATCACGTAGGTCCTCATGTTGTTGAAAAAACTACTAAGGTTCTTGAGTTTTTTTGTAAAGACTACGAGGATACTTTTCAACACTAATATCTAATATCACGACGAATAATGTCACAAAAATTTTAAACTTTGTATTCCCTATTTTATCCTCATTCACATGGTTTGCTTGTTTTCTGCTATAATGCTATGACCATTATCTTGTTTTCAACTATTTGTTTTTTTCTCCATTTACAATTGACTAAAAATGAAATATTTTTTGTGTATTTTCTTTTTTTTTTATGCCAATAGCAAATGGAAAAAAATAAAACAGAAAATTGAAAACGAGATGGTGGTCACAACACAAGACTAGCGGTCCATGTGAATAAGGATAAAATAGGAAATATGGATCCTTTAATTTATTCTGGAAAATTATTCGTTGGAGTATTATATATTTATATTTTAGTGTTTGAAAAGTATCGTTGTAGTCTTTACAAAAAAAATTAAGGATCCTGTTGGTTTTTAAGAACATGAGGACCTACGAGTTATTACGAGAAAACTCGCGTCACCTCAAAGTAATTTTCTGATTTTTGGGTAACCCCAAAAAATGGAAATGTTATGTTCCCACGAAAACTTACGCGCAACAGGTGGCCCTTCCTTATTGACAGTGTAAAGCTTCTGGATGATACGACTTAAGAGAGGAGAGATATTTAAAATAGAGAGAGAGAGAGAGAGAGAGAGAGAGAGAGCTTCAATAGTTATTTTAGAGAACCAAAATACCTTATTATTTTTCTAAAGCTACTTCCCAACTAGAAGTTACAACTCTTGAAATAGAGTGAGGTTCCTAGGAAAGCCTATTTGGAAACAACTACAATTCTAATATGACAACTTAAGGAAACTATGTACTTAGAAAACTACTACTACCAACAATAAAAATAGGAAATTACAATTCATCTTATTATATTGATGATGATGATAATAGTAATAATAATTGTGAACTATATTTAAGAATGATAATAATAAGAGTATAGTGACTGCATCAGGAATGTGCCAATATTAAATGGGTCAATTAGATTTTATGCTTTTGTATATGAACTTGCACTCAAATTTTTTGGTTGCCAACTTCTTTTTTTTTTTTGCCGAAAATACAAGGGCACAAAGATGGTGAATGAACTGTCACGTAATCGAGTTAGTCAGACGCATAAAGATAATCAAATGTGTATCTAATCAGAACTTAAGATCTTTGCAATATCTTTACGCCAAGGCTAACAGATTAGATCTTTATTCTTGAGGCAAGGCTTCACATATGTATACTTATATACCTGTAAAATTACATACTATAAATATCTGCTCGCTGTAATTAAAAGTTCTAAGCTTATGTTAAGCTACTAGCTACATTAGTTTTTAATGCGTAGGATTACTTTCCAATTCCATTTGTCCAAAATGCTGAAATCTGTATCTCTTTTCTTAAGCAAGATTATTAGATGAATCGTGATGCTTGTGATTGTTTTGCATTATTCATGGCTCTTTTTCATGGCTTCTTTTTGGGGAATTAGAACAGTATCAGAAATTGAAATGACCTATCCAGCAATTCTCTTTTAATGCCTGGCTTTCATCCAAGGGCATTCATGGATGCTTTCTGTTATGAACTTACTTATTTTGATTTTTATGCTATCAATCCTAGGCTGCACAACAAGAAAAATCAACATTTGTATCATCTCTACTACCACTACTTGAAGAGTATTCTCTTCAGCCTCTCGAAGCCGATGCTCAATCAATTGTTAGTAACATCAAGGTTAGCATTAAGTGCTACTGCTCCAGCCAAAAATTTGTATTTGGGTAATTTACTAATTGCTTGATTTTGCGCCAAAGACTAAAAGGCCTAATAAGACCTTTGTTTTACAGGTTTTTTCTCTTTTATTAATTTGCTTAAACACGTGATGCTCTAAAGAATGATTAGTTTGCTATTAAGTACGTAGTATTAAATTGGAGGGACAAGCTAGCCAGCCTGACCGTATAAGGCTTTTAATGCACATGTTTAAAAGATCTGCAAAATTTCAGCAATCTGTGTAGCAAAAGAAGACCACTCAGTTTTCTTAATAAATACCAACTATCTAGGAGATACTCATCGTGATGTAATATAAACCTCATAGTTAATTTTAGTAGTTAAAATGCTGATTTTTAGAAAATGTGTTGGAAATGACGCTTTTGTTGATCAAATATTGTAGGGAATGTCAGTGGCTTTTGATTTTTCTAAAATTATCTGTAACACACAAAACAATGTTCTCGCAGATTTTGTTCAGACATTTGCAGGAAAGGCTTTTGAGTACAGAGGTTTGTTGTTTACTTTGAGTAGTGGTGTTACACATTTTCCCTGTACGGGTTCTTCTTGACCATATTTACTTTTATAATTATTGTTGTTGTTGTTGTGGTTCTTATTATTATTATTTATTATTATTGTTGTTGTTGTTTTCGTTATTATTATTATTGTTATTATTATTATTATTATTATTATTATAGTATTATTATTACTCCCTCCGTTCGGGAAAGATTTTCCCATTTGACACTTCTTAGTCAAAGTATGTAAACTCTGACCTCAATATGCAGAAAAATACATTGTGTTTCGATATAAATGTAATATCAATAGTTTTCTTTTGAAACGTAGTTTTGAAATATTAAATTTTTATAAAATATATCTATGTATGAATATAGATTTAAATGGTCAAAGTGTTGTGTTACATTGAAGACTGTGAAAAGTCAAATGGAACGATCTTTTCAAGACAGAGAGAGTATAATAATAATAATGATGATGATGATGATGATGATAATGATGATGATGATAATGATGATGATGATGATGATGATAATAATAATAATAATAATAATAACAATAATTTTCTTGGAATCATAGGCGAAGCTAAAGGAGTCTCAGTATCAAGTGGCTCCTTGGTCATCTGACGTCAACTCCAATTTTGAAATGTCACCTGCTGACTATGCTGTGGTAATAATGATTAAATACAGTTTACACAAATACCAAGGTGGATTAGAATGTTCCATAATAGTGAAATCAAAACTTACCAGATTAAAGATGAGCTAGACCTGGTACCAGGAGTGATTAGCTCTTCAGACCCTCGGACAGGAAGAGTTTGGGATCCATTGGTTCGTCCTCACTTTGATATTACAGGTGATGCTACAAAAGGCATGGGCGGAAATGATTTTGGCAGTTCTCCTTCTGCAAGCAGGTGAGCCTGGTGAAATGGAGAGTGCTACTGTGAACTGATTGTACGATCCCAACTTGCTTTTGGTGGTGGGTTCTGTTATCAGTTGAACTCTCCCTGTTTATTCATACCTGCCTGAAATCAACAATGAAATTCATGTTGCTTTGAGTAGGAAAAATGATTCCTTGTAATTTTTTTCTTCCAAATTTGATGGAATAGATACTCTTTACCGGAAACATGCCATATTGCTTACTTGCATTTTAGTCGGTAAAGGAAATGGTATCACATATTGGATGTTGGTTTGTTGTAGTTGTATTTTCATTTATTTTCATCATCTCCGATGGAGCCGAAGATTCACTATTTTTTGGCTTTGGGGTATGATGGAATAAAGCGAAATGGCTCTTTAAACTGTCTACGCTTCTTTTATAGTGAAGTAGCAGTTAGTCAATGCAACTTCGACACTCATCATGGGTCATCCGGAAACAGCCGCTCTATGTTTTAAACATAGGGGTCATGCTGCGTACGTGATTACCTGTGGTGCCTGAGCAGGGGGTCTCTTTGGAAACAGCCTCTCTATTTTCGAGTAGAGGTAAGGTCTGCATACACACCCTCCCCAGGCCCTACTTTTGTGGATTCAACTGGGTTGTTGTTGTTGTGTATATTCTCTTTTATGTTTCTAATATTAATTGCTCCCTTATTCTAGATGAATATATTATCAAAGTTTTGTTTATTTACTCAGGATTAACCTTGCTCTGCAGGGAGACTGTTCTTGTCGGTGCATCTACTCAGTTTTCAATCACCCGGGACCAAAATATTTCAAAGTTAAAAAATGAAGAAATACCAACTAAACAAGTGACATTTAGTGAAATTAGCAACAGTAGTGCAACAGATGATCCTGACAATGAGAGAACTAACAATGATAGAGAACCTTCAGTTAGTTGGGTTTCTAAAAGTTCTCCTTATGTAACTTCACAAGAGGATCCAATGTCCACATACTCGTCATATTTACCTCCTGTTATGGAGGAACCTACTACATCTTACTCAGAAGGTAAAAGTTGTTCTCTTTTGACACGTTACGACTCACTACAAGGATCTTGCAGCTAGATGTGATCTAATATGAAGCTTTTAACAGCTGCAGATGATGATCCTTTACCTGCAATAGAAGGGCTCCAAATTTCAGGTGAAGCATATCCAGGGCGAGAACTCCAAGCATCCGGATACTCTATCAATGGAACAACCAGCTGCATTTTTGAGGTGCTTTTGAATCTAGGCTTTCTTCTTGCTATACCGAGTAATGGTTACACTACACCACTCATACAATTATAAATTTATCATTATATTAGAATCCATCATGCAACTTTAATTGTGAGTACTATCTGTTAGAATCTGTTCTTATTTTCTTACCTCATGGCTGGACTTACAGTGGATTCGGCATATGGAAGATGGATCTTATATCTACATAGATGGTATTCTTTTCAGATCTCTTCTTTTCATTTTATTGTAACTCTTTCTTCTCTATCTGTATGCCTAAGGGCATGATGCTGATGTCAGGGGCCCAGCAACCTGTGTATCTTGTTACTGCTGATGATGTTGACACTTACCTAGCCATTGAAGTTCGGCCACTGGATGATAGGAAGCGAAAGGTTATTTCCACATATCTTGTATTCTTTTTCAAAAAAATTCTGTTTACTGTTGTGTGATATGTCTGTTTTACATGAAGAGAGGTCAGTTAAAATTTTTATGGAGAAAAGGGAAGACACAGTAAAATACTTGTAAAAATAATTCTTTGCAGAGGACATCCACACATGCTTATCCCTTTTACTTACATGGCAAGACCATCAAGCGTCCAGCATGTAGGCACTCAGGAATGCTAGGGAGCCACCTTAGTTGTCTAATACACTGATCCTAGAAAAGTTACATGGAACCTAGGCCGACATAATAAAAAACATAAAAATCAGGACATGGTGTGCATGGTTCCTAGTACGAACATAATGAATTTCTAACAGGTTGTGATTGTAATAAAATGTAATATCAAGAGCGTTTTAGTTGAGTAATTAACAAACTTTTAAGATTGTACCTGTGTCCAAAGATAGCCAATATTTCTTCAAGTCTCATGCTTAAAATGAAATTTGTTGGAATATATTTCCCAGCAAACAAGACTGTAATTTCTCCTCTTTGGAATAAAAGTTAAAAATAGCACTTGTAGTATTATATCTACCAAATAACCAAATATGTTGTAAGATCTTGAAATTTACTTTTAGTCAAAATACTTGTTACAAGTGCCTTGTTTAACCCTTGTGGAGTATTGTACTTGGGAGTGCCCTTTTCGTTAATAGTTTGATCTGATCTGCTTGCATTTAAACTGTTTTAAATTGCTCGAGGTAACTAAGGTAGCTTCATCTCTTTTCCTTTCTAGGGTGAAGCGGTAAAGGTTTTTGCAAATGAGCACAAGAAAATAACTTGTGGTAATGTTTACATTCATCCATATGCAAAATTTATGTGAACATTGGATGTTTGCATCATGAGTGCTTACATAGAAATTATTTGTGCTTCCAAGTATATAAACAATACTATATTTCACAAACAAACTTGTTGGGGGGGGGGGGAGTCAACTCGATAAGTAGACATAGGAACTATATCACCATTTTCAAATATATAGTCCCAGTCCCAAAAAATATTACTAAGCTGTTTGGATGAGAGCATTATTGTGAGCCACATTTTCATTATTACAACGGAAATAAAGTGGGATGTGTTTTTTGGGATGTCCAAAAAAGGGAAGCTGGGTGAAGTTTCTCTGGGCAGAGGCAGTTATTTTATTTTCGTGAGCCTATAGAATTTGTCTAGAAGTTGCCCCAAAATTTTCATCAAGGAACATTTATTGAGAACCCAACAAGTGAGCCATATTCAACTCATGTTATCACAGGCTTAGAACACCACATCTCCCTCTTGAATTTTAGAGATGGAATTTAGTTGCAACCCTAGCTTAGGTTGAACGTAGGGGTTTTTGGGGTAATTCCCATAAAAATCTCATTGCATATATGGAGCACAGAAACAATTAAGTATTCCCAAGTAACTTGGGGTAGGTTACATCAACTAAGAGGAGAATCATGTTCGGTCATTAACAAAAATGTTATCATGCCATTTTTATTAATAGTCACACAATTGCCCGCATTCAAACTTGACAAATCACTCAGAATCACTTCCTCCCATGTTCTTATGGGTGTCCCTCTTCCTCATATGCAATACATATAACAGCATCCGTCGAATCATTGTTCGTAGACCTTGCTTTTTAACTTCAACGTTACGAAGAACTCTAGTTGCGCTTCATGTCAACCTACCTGCTGCCTTACTTGAAATTCATCATTTCCATAGAGTGTCTTAGATATTTCTTAAAACAATCACTGCACGTGATATCTCATTCCTCTAAAATCACAAAATCTGATATGTGTGCTTCTGATGTTACTATACTTGCATTCAATATATTCTGTTTCAGTTCTGCTTAGTCTGGAACCATTAGACTCTAGCTTCTCTCTCCACATTTCTAACTTCCCATTGACTCCTACTTTAGTCTCATCTTTCACGGTGTATTCATCGGCAAACAGCATACACCAATGTAAATCATGTTGTATAATCTTAGGGGGGTGTATTCAAAAATATCTTTCTAAATTTAATGGTATTCAAAAATTAATAGATTTTAAAAGATTTTTATAAAATATAGAGATTTTGCAGATTCCACGATTGGCTCTTCCGATAAACAAGGCGCAGGCCTCTTGTCTACTTCATCCTCTCCTTCCTGCTTCACGGTATTCTTCGTCTTCTTCTTCAATGGATCCCCATCGACAGTTGTCCCCTTAGCATGAGTCCATCCCCCTTAATGGTCGGAGTAAGGTGGCAGCCCAATTTATAGGGATGATAGAAGTGACTCGTGGATGAAAGAAACCATTTGCTCGAAGAAGAGGATGAATGAACAGTAATTGAAAAATCAAATCTATCAATTAATTGCTCAAAGGGATCAAGCAAACCAGTCCGTAGATATGTGCGCTAGGGGAAGGCGATCAAGATTGGTCAAATGATTTGAGCATTATCAGTGAAAAAAGAAAAAAAACATGGCGAGGAGGCTATTCATGAGTTGCGTACACCCTAAGTGCACCAGAGAAAGAGTCGGAGAGCCAGGAAGAGAGGGCATGGAGACATGGACTTTTTAAAATATAAACAAATTTATTAAAATCTATCCAGATTCATATGGAATTTATTAAAATCCATCCAGATTCATATGGAATCAAAATAATATATGAACCATACATAATCTATGGATTTTAAAAACTCTAAAAAAATCTTTTGAAATCTCAATCAAATACACCCCCCTTAGTTATAACTTTCATTACCTTCACAGAAGGAATGTGCTTAATGCTTTTCCTTGATGTACTCTCGTAGCAATAGGAAACTCCCCTTTCGTTCGTGTACTGCCTGTTACATTAGTGTTTACTCCATCGTGTGTGTGTGTGACTGTGTGACTGTGTGTATAGAACTTTATATACCTTTCGCAAACCAGTTTTACCCACCCTAATTTGTCTTTGGGTACTCATTGTTGGTAGTTGCTACGAACCCAATTTTCTGTAAATTATCTCAGATAAGACCTGAACACCTCAAGCTTGAGGAGGCCCGATGTTTTAGAAATCATCTACTCAAGAACCTTAAGCTAATGAAAAAAGAAATCTCATCTCGATTTGATTTATATTACCCAAGATTTACATGCAAATTTTAGGCTATAAATAGCCTTACAAATGTACCAGCGCCGCAAGTATTAAGGTATCAAACGTTAAAGCATGTTCAAAGAGTCAACTCTTAGAATTACATTTCTTTTTCTAAAAAATGGTACGTCTCTTAGAGGGAAAATGGGCTTACCTTAGGGGCTGTGGCAAGTATGTGCGCTGCATTTTGCAACCTCACATAAAATAGCTAACATGCAATGTTGTAAAAAGCAGTAGGCATTCAATGAGTTGTAGACTGCATCCTAGTGCCTGCCCAGAGATGATTAAATGAATTGGGGTTAGACAGGATCTAAATGCAACACCTTGGTGGGGAATAGTCGCGGCTAGACATGGAATGTTTCAACAATGCAAGATACCCTTCTTCAAGCCATTTTTGGAATAGGTGCGTGTTGGAGTGGCAAGCTTCAAGAGCTCATTGCTCAAGCCTGTGACATCAAGCGTCCTTTTGCAATGTTCTGACTTGGGGCGGTGGCTTCTGGGTGATTTGCCCGGGTTTGGTAGTCTTGCAGTCTGATCCGTGTTTCATCCTTAAGTGTTGCACCTTCAGCTGACTGATTGTTTGGTTTTGACTTGTACAATTCTCCCTTTCAAAGATTCAACTTCAAACCTGGGCCATGATCAAATGGGGAAGTTCCAAGGGATGACCTCAAATGTAGAAAATAGAATCTTATCTTGCCCTGTATGACATTCATTGTTCTGAATCTTTCTTCTTTTGCATCCACTTTTTAAGTACTTTGTGTATATTATTTCTTATGGATGATTGAACATTATCTTCATGTATATAATCTTATACATTGATTAAACATTGTTTATATGCTATAGATTCTGATATGCAAAATTTCATAGAGAGAACACTTAGCAGTGGTCATGCTTCATTTAATGTATCCTTGTGGGTAAGAATATGCTACGAAAATCTGTTTTTGCTTAATTGGTTACCCAAGTTTTGTATCTGTTGCTAGAAAAGGCAAACCCTGCATATTTATGCACTACTTTCTTATTTTTCTTTGCTCTTCAGACAGGATATCTTGACATATGGGAGCCAGCTATTTTGGCTATAAAGAGGGATGGTTTCAGTATCAAGTGTTCTGGAACTAATAGTGTTGTGGTGGTTGACAAATTTTCGCCATCTATAACTGTATGTGCTCTTATTTGCCAATAACTTTTCTTGCAACCTTCCATTCTTGAAGGCCCAATGGGTGCATTGCTTTTGATATGTTAGCATTGACTGGGGAAACATATTGACCAAAAAGTGGATTTATTTATGTTCAAATATGCTCATTTTCTTCTCTTTTTTCATTGCATCGTTATGCTATTGATATGTCCTGTCATCTTCTTGTTCCATGTGTTATTGGAGTTCACAGTTTCTGTAAGATGGCTTGATTGCTTAGAACATAGTAATAATGGATTTATGACCCATGTATCTGTTTCTGAATGTGATGAAAATCTGATACCTGCTATGTTTTAATTCTGCCAGGCAGCTAACATAAATAAAGTGTGTTGCTTTTGGTAGTTTTTTCCCAGCTTAGCAACTGATACCCTGATCACGGCGTTTAAAATCTTGATGCATATGTATACATATAACTCAATTTAGTCAATCAATTTGCAGAGCACTACGGCATAGTCTAGGTTTCGAGTATATAACTTATCAAAATTCTCCTTTTTAGTTTTTTGAAATTTAAATTTTATGGTTTTCATGTGCCCCACTTCCCATATTCCTACCTTGTGCTACTTGTGTAGAATTTTAGGTGGTGTGGTTTATAGGTCTTAGGTGGGTGGGTAATCTGGTGCTATTCATTTGTTTTTTGAAATGTGATGTCATTGTAAATATTTTGTACACCTTTTTTTCATGAAATCAATGTATTCATGGATAATGTTCAATTATGGCCAATGAAATGAAACACATTAATCAGTTTCTAGAGGGTTGAGAAATATATTTTCTGATCATTTTCATATTTGAGTAAAATTCTCTGCCAGGTTTCTATTCCATTTGCATGTCCTGGGGATTTTTCAGTAACCGATAGTCGAGGGGATCAACATCTATTGAGGGTAACAAATATCAGCTAGTAAGTCTTCAGTATTCAAACTTTTGAAATGTTGTCAGTTGTGCATTGTTATTAGAAGTGTCTGTTTGTGTGTGAGATTGCCTTTACGGGATTTCATGCATGAGATTATAATTTCAAGAGAGCAATAAGCAGGGAGATTCTTTACATGGTTGTGACATGCAACAAGCAAAGAAGTATGATGAATTATAGTGATTTTGCTCCCTCTGTTCCGTATTAAGGTTCTTGTTCACACTTTACTGGGTCAAACCGTCAAACTATTACTTCTTTCTTTACACATTTTGATTGATCGTTTCGTAAAATAAGTCAACTCACCACATACTTGCAGAGCTTTTGATGTACAGCTTTCGTCCCACTCTCTTTGTCCACTTTCAATTTGGCTCTTGGACCAAGGAGGGGATAATTAGTGTAGGAAGTTACAAAAAACCCTTCGCCAAAAAAGTGAAACTACAGCTCAATATACTGTACAGTGCGGTATTATTGGACCAGTACTCATTATTCATGTTTGGTGAGGGTGAGAAAAATCTCTCCGAGGGACTAAATTGCACAAAAAACTGCGACGACGAATGACAAAGAACGACGGAAAATATGTTTTTTTGATGAAAATTTTCCTTTTGAAACAATCTCTATTTACAATTAACCATAAATTCTTCCTTAGATCTGATTTATGCCGCACGGAAAAAAGAAAGAAAAAAGTGCAAACACAGGGTAAAAGGAGAGTTAGATCCACCAGATAAAAGCTTGAAGATCCATTCATATTATATTTGTGGTTGCCGATGGACAAATTTGCAACTGAGAAAATCTTTGATCTAGGCTGCCGCATCTGTGCTTAGAAGAAAATCAGATGGGTGACGGTGAAAAAATATTGACGACGAAGAAAAGGAAGATGGAGAGATTGAGAGCAAGAGAGATGAAGAAAAAGAAATGGGAGATTCAATTGGGAACAAAGATAAGAAGACGTAATGGGAGATTTGAAAGGGGGTAAAAGAGTCACTATAGAACTTTTAGTTTACCATAAAGGGAAAGTGGACGAACACACTAGGACTGCTCAAAAAAGAAATGTGGACAAAAAAACAGGGACGGAGGGAGTATCTTTTAAATGTATAATTTTTATTTTTTAATTCTACACCAATTTTAAAATATATTCAATTAAAACTAGCTTCACACACATCATAAACCAAAACAAAAACATTATTTTGGGACAGAAGGGTGTTTTTTTTCTGTAAGAGGTGTCTCTTTAATTGAAAGGAGTTCTTATTTTGTAGCTACCTTTGGAGCCAAAATATTTTCTGTCTTGCTTCTTGATTATCCCATTCCTTTAAAATAATTCTTTTTTACACCATCGACATAACATTATGGGAGTTAAAAAAAGATGGCCCTTATTTTTAGTAGTTGGGATACAGGAATACTCCGTAGTTTACCAAAAAAACAACAGGAGAAAGTTACACCTATGTAAATTATCGAATTTGATTTCAGCGAGCAGGGGTTTTATTTGTGAGTGTTGTTACGGTATAATTATAATGTACTGAAGTAAACTTCTTTTCTTACTGGTTACACTAATTTAGTTTAATCTTAGTCTGGGGACACTTCGTTTCCCCATTCATGCAATGCATATCATCCATATTTGTTAGCTGAGTGTTTGAGCAGAGCAGTATGTTCTGTTTAGTTTCTTGTTATGCTTTCAGTCTTCAATCATTTGTTGTTATAACTGAGTTTCCTGTGTATGTCTTTCATTTTGCAGTTCCAGGGACGCCATTGTTCTCATCATGAAATATTTAATTTTAAAGGTACACTTTTAACTGTTTTATTGTTTTGAGGTGCACTATGGACTTTCCCTAAAGTAACATAAATTTGGTCTTGATCAATATTTTGATTTGAAATTAAAGCTTTGCATAACATTTCATTAGCTTTTCTTTGAAAATGAGAAATATCTACAAAGGTCTTAAATTACGACAGGGTATCTAGCGTAGAACTTGTTAGAAGAAATAATAGGAAGAACAAATCAAATGCAGAATAAAGTTCTATTTTTTTTATTGTGAACTACATACAGGAATTCTATTTTCCTGGAGTATTTATAGACAGCAACCAACACAACTATTGGTACTAATCAACACATCTATTACTAACTAATACAACTTTTAGAAATAACTACCTATAACTTCCAGAAATAACTACCCAAAACTATCCCTTTTATTTTTAAAATTTAAATCTAAACTAACTAGCTTATGGCCAGGAATTAAACAATACGATTAAATCTAACAATCACCCCCCTAATCGTTGTTTGTTCACACTAATCTTCACAACTATGTTGGTTCATCATCATCTTCAATCAAATTTGCAATGTCTTCCTTTTGATCCCATTTTGGACATTCGTTCAAAAAATGTCCTAACTCATTGCACTTGAAACACTTAATGTGACTCTTATCCCGCTAAAACCGACCACCATCCTGACCTTTCCCGGACCCCGACCTCTACCTCGGCCACGTCCAAAGTTTTCTCGGTTCGAGCTCCAGCACCCACAATGCTCACATTTGTGCTCCTGAACCTTCTCTTTTCCATCACCTTTAGTGAATAATGGTTTACCATGGGTATCTCTGTTAGGGTTGAACCGGGGGTCTTATCAAGTTGTTATTTTTGGAGATGGAACTGTGGAATAATGAAGGGGAAATGGGATGGATGAAAATATGGGAATGTGAAGGAGTTCTTTTTGGGTTTTGATATTATGAAGAAGAGAGGAAAAATCAGGGTTGAAGGACGGGTTTAGAAAGGATGGGATAAATTCCAAATAAGGAATAAGAGATAAACACACTCTTGTCTTAATTTGGAGCCAAATTAATACTAAAGGATAAGCTCACCTCTAGATTAACTTGGGGTTAAACTCTAGTATTTAATCAAGATATTACACACTCAATCAAATAACTAGAACCTAAAACTCACACTTAAAATAACCACTCTTAAGATATAGAATTAGGAATTTGGCTAAAATAGCATCACACTATTTTATGAATACTCAAAGAGTAAAAGGTTTTCAATATTCAAAGATGTGTTTACAATGGAAATAGGACCTGGTTATATAGGCAGGGGGAAGGGGGAAGAAATACACAATACATTGAATGTAGACATAAGGAAACTTCCTAGCAGCATCCTCTCTCAAAGCCTTGAAATATCAACCATGTTTTAGGTCCTTTTATTGGAATAAAATCAGGAATGGGTGTGGTTGTAGGGTCTCCAATGAAATGCAAACCAAGGGGAATGGATAGCATTCTTTTGGGCTGATTTGGGGGGATGTGTTCAGCCAACTAGGGGGGACAAAGGGAAAGGATAAGAAAGTACCATGTTTCTCCTGGAATTTTATGGTTGTTTAGTGGGTTGTACTAGGGAACATAGTAGGGACCATGTTGGGTGGATGTTGGAAGATGAATGGGGCTGTTTTGGTTTCCTATCGTGACCAGGGATTAAAATAGATAGAAGAGACTTTATTTTGGATATCAAAAGGAAATGAAATATATTTGGATGTTTAAGGTTGGGTTTGACAGAGTGGGGGTTGGCTAGCGGAACCCTTCGGTCAGTAGTTAAAAGACCTTTGAATTTTCACTAAAATGGATCATAATGTTTGAACGTAAGTCCTTTGGCTCCTATGATTGTGTGAGGCATGGGGAAGGACCTGAAAGGGTCGGGCTCGGATACATCAATCTCCTTCCTGGCTTTCTGATGCGTTCCTCGAATGCTTTCAATCTTCCCACCGCTTCTTGAAACGATGCAAACTGTTCAATTGTAGCAACGATCTGTATGAACTGTTCAGACACAGAACCCAAAAGCTTTTGAACCAATCTTTTGTCTTCAAATGCAGACCCAAGGTTGTTTGCTTGTGTTGCAAGTTGACTAATTTTACCAGCAAAATCATCAAGTGACTCATTGTTCTTCATCTTTAGAGTCTCAAAATTTGATATCAAGTGTCTGTAATCGCGCCGCTTTAACCCTGTCAACTCCAACGAAGTGAGTCTTCAAAGAATTCCAAATTTCTTTTGCTTCAGTAAACTGAGCAACTTGTAGTACGATCTCTTTTGGCAAAGCTTGAAACAGATATGCTATTGCCATATTGTTCTTCTTTGGAGTTTGGATCAATTTCTGTTCTTGGTTCGATCACCTCCCAAATCCCATTAACATTAAAAATTGCTTTCATCTTCACAGCCCAAATAGTGTAGTTTGTAGCAGTTAGAATTGGAACCTGAAAAGATAGTGAACTATTTTCCCTTGTAGTCACAATATGTCTGTTGTCTTCCATTGCACGACTTTAATTCCTTTGACAATTTTCACAAAATTCTTAGACTTTGATTCCTTCCTGGTCGTAAGCCACCTCCAATTGACCACCAACCAAATACATCTTCCAAGCCACTAAACGAAAGCTACCGCGCTGATTCATTTTTCCTGCGCTGTTTGGTTGGAATCCTTTTGCCAAAGGGAAAAACTAGCCACCTGCTATTTTTGTCCTAGGTGAGGAAGAATTTTGTCGAAGATTTTTGATCTGTTGTCAAGGAAGTTTCTAATGCTCCGTTATACGATCTGGCAGATCTCCCTTTTCTTGCCGCTGATCGCACATGCTCTAATACCAATTGTTAGAAAAAATAATAGGAAGAACAAATCAAATGCAGAATAAAATTCTAATTTTTTTTATTTTGAACTACATACAGGAATCCTATGTTCCTGGAGTATTTATAGACAACAACCAACACAACTATTGGTACTAATCAACACATCTATTACTAACTAATACAACTTCTAGAAATAACTACCTATAACTTCCAGAAATAACTACCCAAAACTGTCCCTTTTATTTTTAAAATTTAAATCTAAACTAACTAACTTATGGCCAGGAATTAAACAATAGTACAATACGATTAAATCTAACAGAACTATTTCTGCCTTTTTTGTTTTTACATAAATTTATAGTGGTGTACTTGAGATTAAAGTAGCCTTAGCCCTTTTCTGTTTTAAGGATTAGTTGAGCTGGACCGACGACATGAGAACGTCTTCTTCCTGAGATTGTCTTCAAAAGTTATCTGCCTTCAGTTGTCTTTCAGTCTTCTTGCTTCGGTCGTCTGTCAGTCTTTTCTTTTTTTCCTCTACTGTTTCGATGTAAACTTCTTTCACTTTGCAAAATCGTCCCTAGCACACAAGTGTGAAGAGACGATTGAATGATCTACAATGTGGTAGTTCTAATTTTGCCAAAACGTTAGTTAATTATCTCTCTCCTTTCAAATGTCCCCTACCTCACCTTACCTCCTACCAATGTTTGCAAGGCGTGACTACATGTGCCTCAATCTTGACTAATAGCTTTAAAAAAATGATTTTAGGGTTATTTACTCATCATCATTGTTTTCTTCTTCTTCTTCTTCGTCTATGGTTATTGCTACCCTTCTTTGCTGTCTCCCTTTTTTTGTATTTTGTATATTTTCTCTTTGTTTTTTTTGCTCTTTTCTCATAGTTTTTACTTTGAAATTCCGCATAGTCATATTTGGTTTTGCTTAGTGTTTTAGTCTATGTCTCTTCCCCTCTTTCTACATATTATTCATTAGTTTCTTATTTTTTTTAAATTTAAATACTTTTTCAGCATGAAAGAAAAATGTTTGGTTCATTATGAGGTTTGCTAGTTGTATGTCTTTAATAGTATGTTTGGTTGAAGAGAAAATGGAGAGAGAAAAGTGGAGGAGAGAAAACACGGAATTCAAAACATTTTCTTTTGTTTGGATGGTAGAGAAAAGGGAAAACATGGTGGGACCCACAAAGAATATTCTCTCCAAAGATGGTAAGAAAGTGATGTGAAGCTCCAACTCTCTTTCTTTTCTTTTTTCACCCTTTCTCCACATTTTCTCTTCATTTTCTACTCATCCAAACAATAGTTGTTTTCTCTCTATTTTGTCTCCACTTTCTCTTCTCTCAATTTCTTTTCATTTTTTCTCTCCTCATTTTCTCTCTGCATCCAAACATGGGCTAAAGGTTTAACCATGAATTTTATATCATCTTCTATTTAGGATTCATTTTTAATGTAGCTTGTGTTTTGTATGTGTAGTTATTAATCTTTAATACTCTTCTCTTTTTGTTCCTCCTTTGCGCCTCATGATTTTGGGAGTGTGCCTCAAATGTGCCTCGAGCTTTGAGACGCTAGGCCTCCTTTGTGCAGTCCATCATAAGAATAACAAAAACCAAGATTTGGTTTATTTGGTACCAAAAAGGAACTACAAGAAAATAGCACACCTTTCAAGCCTGTAAAAACTATTAATGCTGTCATTTGAATCGTAAATGTAAGAATATGATATTCCAAGAAATTCACAGTTCGTTATGGACTAGGCAGCAATGCTACTTTCCCTCCCACTGCCACTACACCTCTCCAACTCAAACTGGTGTTTGCATTTCCACTTGGTGCTAAAAAAGTATGGGTCATTTCACCTCATTCATATCCATCATGCAAAAGTGAGTTGTAATTGTATAGCAGTAACCGAAAACATACCTTGATGGCGCCATAGATCACTCATCATATTATTATAGTTAATCAAACCAAAAATGGAAAACCTAGAAACAAAGGCATTCAGTTGAGATGTTAGATAATTGAATCACGATCAGTGTTATTACTTTGTCAAGAAGTCTGCGACTAGTCATCCAGTCGATTGGTGGTGGTCAACTGCCTTCTTTGACTAGTGACTGAACTCCCTCATCATCCATTCGTTTTTAGGTCGACAACTACTTGTTCAGATCATCTCCATAATCTTGTGATCCGAGTATCCAACCCGACCTAACCCAAATTTCATTTAATTAAGAAAGACAACCCTGGTTGACAGTCAGACGGTATTCGCAATAAGCTTCAAGTTGCGCAGCGATTGGTATTTAACCACTTCACGTATTGTTTTTTTTACAATGTTTTACTGCCTATATCCAAATCTCACAGGAAATTCTCTTTCTCTTGTTTCATTTGTTTTTTTATTTTGTGAAATACTTTTTGTTGTCTTTTATTCAACTTTCAGTTTTGTTTTTATTGTTTGTTTTCAATTTTTGTATTTTTAAGTCTTGTAACTAATTTTTTGGCTGTATGAATCTTTTTTTTTTGAATTATTGAATACCATGCAATTAACTTTTGGTTGTTTATGTGCTACCTTTAAACATAGTCTTGTTTAGGTAATGATATTTCATCTTTTAAAAATGTGGTTATCTGTAGTGATATATTTAGATTTATTTTATGAAGAATTTTATTATTCATTATCACTTGTCAACTAATCATTAACTATTCAGACGACTGATCGACCAGTTGATCAGTATCTTCTTCACCGACTCCACTTGTCGTGATAACTGATAACCGTGATCACAATGTCTAAGAACACGATCCATTAGATCATTTTATCCACTAGTTGGTTCATGGTCTGTTAAAAGAAAGCTACAATGCATCATGGGTGGAAGCACCAACTGTAAGCAATCTTCAATTCACATGATATTTGAATAATGACACTTCTCCATCATTGTCAGCCGCTATAATAATCTTTAATGAGCTGAACATTGCTAGGCTTAGTCCTTTAGGGTCATAAATGGCTCCTTATGAACATCTAAAATTCTTTTAGACCATATTCAAGGCCCGAGTTGGTCCTATATACATCTACCACATGATAAAGAAAAGTATTGCAGCAATTAGATGATGGTTTACAATATGAGTCATCCTTAGACATTCAGTAACACAATCTAATCCTCGATCAAACATTAGAAAGTTGACATATCTTGACCAACTCAAGGTGAAAAGTGGGGTGTTGCCTCAACAAAACTGATATATACTTAGACCCATAATATTTTGATTAAGGATCAATTCATGAGGAAGTGAAATTTCTTTACGATCAATTCGAGCGCTTAGAAATTTAGAGTAAATTCCTTAATTGGTCCTTTATAATGTGGGGTTTTCCATATTTAGTCCTCAATTATCAAATATTATGCCCGTAGTCCTTTTTTATGGGTACCTTTCCATAAATAGTCCTTTATTATCTTCAGACATTTTGGTGTTAATTTGAGGGTTAAAAGTGTAATTTCACAGTGATCATATATTTTTCTTGTCATACACAATGCAAGAGGTCGTTCCTAATGCGTCGTCTTGCATCGTCTGTGAATCGCAGCGAGCCGCTTTCTGCTACAACCATAGTCTACAGATGTGGTCTTTCGTTTGTTGTCCATCTAATTGACATCAGAATACGTGATATAGGGTTGATGTTAAATAACTCTTTTAGCCCTCAAATTAACACCAACATGACAGTGGGTCAAAAAAGACTATCCGTGGAAAGGTACCCATAAAAGGACCATAGGGGTAATATTTGATAATAGAGGACTAAATATGGAAAACTCTTTGTTATAAAGGACCAATTATAGAATTTACTCTTTATAAAATGATAAAGATACATAAACTTGATGACCCACCCAATTGAGAGACCTGAATTTGAGTAAACCAGCAAAATGATGATTCAACATGGGTTCAACATCTTAAAGCCAAGCCAATTTTGCATGTGTAGGTGTGTGTCCAAAGGGGGAACTTTCAGGGACATCATTTTTACCTTTAGAGAAAATTATATGGGACAGATGAATAAGGACAGTGAGAAGCTTTTTATGGGATGGAGGGAGTATTTTCCAAAAAGAAAAGAGGATAAGTTTCGCTATTTTTTTTAATTAAAATTATGTTAAATCTAATTCAACCAATAAATAAATTCAGAAACATTCTCTCTTGGTCCCCTAAGAAACTTCATTCGAAGTTTCGAACATACTTTTACTGTGAATGCAAATGTGACATTTTCAGGCTGGTGAGAAAAAAAGGAAGAGACGGAAAAGGAGCTTGTTTTTCAACAAGGAAGACAAGAAAAGGTGCATATTCGTTACCTAGTAACCAAGAGTATTTCAATGAATCTCCCGCTGTCATTTTGCTTCTCTGAATCTTTGAGCTACTTCTCTCCTTTGACTTCAACTATTTGTGTGGGATGTGTTGTAGATGATGATTGTTGAGGCGGGAGTACTTCCACATGTGTAGTTTGAGGGGGACATAGAGAGAAAATCTCTTCGCCATAGTTTCTTCATGGTTGCGACTATTGCGCGAAAGACATGACAGATTCTTTTTCATTTTGTTTGGAGTAATGTGAACAGAAATGCACGCATTCTGCTGTAGTTATTATAGGCATTTGTATCATGTGTTGGTAAAAAAAAGTAGATGGATGGGGAAAGTGAGGAAGAGTGCTTAGAGAGTGTAAATTTTTTTTACTGTTCTTGCACTGTAACTGTACAGAAGTGATTTTCAAATGTGATTTGCTGATATGTTTGTGTACTTGATTTCACCATACTTGCAAATTTTATCAACGGTGTGTTTGCTGATGGGTAATGCAAGGGGTACATTAAAATAGTGTCTCATTTGTACACCAGGAGTAACACAGACACCCACGGACATTATATGTTTGTGCACTTTGAAATCCCTATCTTCATGCACCACCAAATTGTACTCCTTTCGCCCCAAATTGGTTTATCATTGACCCCATGTTTTGTACAGACATGCACAAATAATAACTGTTAGTGTGAAACCGATTTTATTTGTGCGTGTCTATGGAAAGCATATGGTGAATGGTGGTGTCAAATTTTGGGGTTTTCTATTTATTTTATTTTTTTTGAAATTCTAATGGAGTTGAATTTTGGTAAATAAAAACAAAGGTGTAGGCTTTGATCGGTCAAACCACCCATCATACTTGGGCTCAATAGGATTATGTTTTCAAAACTAAAATGGAGATCAAACTGGTTAATATTCAGGTTCGCTGGTTAAGGCTTCGTTCCGTTCAACTTATTTTTTCTAATCTGATCTGATTCAAATAAGTTCTGATCTGATTTGATCTGATTGGATCTGATCTCATCTGATCTGATTGGATCTAATCTGATCTGATTGGATCTGATCTGATATGATCTGATCTGATTCGATCTGATCTGATTAATTATGATTTAATTTAAAATTTCAAATCAATAGTTTAATTTGACTTTATAATAACGTTTGAAAATTGTAATGATAATTCATATTATAATATAATCAATATTTTTTATTTAATGATTATTTTTTAATAAAATAAAAATAGTTAATTCATATATTAGAATAATCATTCATATCATAATTTAATAATATTTTTATTTTATGATTATTTTTTTGTAAAATTAGAATTATACATTAGAATAAATATTTAATTTAGATATACATTAAAAAATAATTAAATTTAGATAATCAATATATAGAAGAGATAGTATTTTTATTAAAACTAGTATTACACCACGTGCGTTGCACGGTTCGTATTAACGTTATAAATTTATATTGGTATTATTAAAAAAGTAAATAAGTACACCATATAATGAAATATAATGTTTTTCAATTGTGTAATACATAAATTATCTCCACCACATCTTCCTATTCTGAAAAGAAGGGGAAACATGTACCATTGTTTTCCCGTCTAAGTGACTTCTTAAATACGGTTTGAGATATTAAAATGGCGAGTGTTTTAAAAAAAGAATTAAAGAGAATGAATGATTGAATTTTGATATTATTATTTTTATTAAAAATTAAAGGAGGTTAGATTTATATTTCTTGAAACGCCCATTTCATAACCTTTTAAAGCATAGAAATAAAAAGAGGAAAGATTTAAAAAAGGAGGAATGCTTGAATTTTATTAATAACTTTAATGCGTAGACAATTAACATGGTGCAAATAAAATACATAAGATTAAAATTTTAAAACTTTCATTATTAAGCACAAAAATACTCACGGTTTTAGAATTCTTGCAATATTTTTTTATTTTCTGCCACACTAAAAAAATTAGTTACGCCTATAATAAAGAAAAAAAGTTTCAAGAAGTCATTTTTTTAACATCACCCAATACACGACATGAGGCCTGGCAAAAAATGACTCGACCTGTTTTTGACCCAAGATGCGACCTGAAAAAACTGGGTTTTGAACAAAGGTTTTACTGACCGAACCCGAAGTTGACTGAACCAGAAATAACCCGCTAAAAATGGGTCAAACCCGACCGACCCGCTAATCTAAGATTTTTTTAGAATCATACATTTTAATATGAAATATAGTGTTATAAAAATAAGATTATAAATATATTTCTTTGCTTACTACTCATTTTTTGTATATAGATTTATACCATCATAACAAATTTTAATGATGTCACATAATTATCTTACATTTTTTCAAAAATTCTACATATTTAATTTTTTTATTCGTAATATATATTTACACTAAGTCATAGAAATTATTTAAAATTTCAAAAAAATTAATGAAACTCATAACCCGTTGGGTCAACATGAACCCGATGACACTGGGTCATGGACATGTAGTTATCAACCTGAACCTGAACTTATCCGAACCCGAAGTAACCTGAACCCAAGGTAACCAAACCCGAATCCGACCTGACCGACCGGTTTGCCAGGTCTACTGGACATATCAGACAAATAAAAAATGATTCGAGAAGGGGCCTTTTCGTTTAACATGCTAATAACTTCCAAAATTCTATGATTTCTTTTTTTGGTAATTCTTTCTTTTCTTAATATGTCAAATATGTTTTTTCATGCATAAAAAACCCCTTCATCTTTCGGGCATTAAGTATGTATGGATTTTCTAAAGTTAATTTCCTTTTTTAAATAGTTAAAACCGTATCATTTATTATACAATGCTTTCCTGTCATAAAACCACACTATTTATATACACCGCATTAAATTACACATGAATCTTATAAGGTATTTTCTATTTATAGAATGAAATAAAGCCATATTTGTATGTTGCTTAATTATAATTACCGTAGATTAAAAATGTAGATCAAAATCGATGGTCCATAAACGATAGCTTTTGGGCGGGAAAAAACATGGGGCATAATTCCCCTGCTTTTAAGAATAGGATGATATCTCATCCTTATAAAAGATCAAAAGTTTAGAAACTCAAATTACAAGTAGCAATAAAAATATATTTTAAAAGTAGAATTAGATTGACATTGTCAATATATTTTAAAACTAATTTTTCCGACGTCTAATAATTAAGGATTACTTTCTCAGTTTTTTATTTAACCTATTTTTAAAGTTTATTCTTTTTCATTTTTAAGAACAGTAATAATAATAATAATAATAATAATAATGACGATAATAATAATAATAATAATAATAATAATAATAATAATAATAATTCTTAATGGGATCTGATTTTAATAGATCTTGATCTGATCTGATCTGATTGGATCTGATCTGATCTGATTGGATCTTATCTGATCTGATCTGAGTCGATCTAATCTGGTCTGATCTGATCTGGACTGATTTTAATAAGAATAAAAAAATAAGTTGAACGGAACGAGGCCTAAACCTATGGCTTGAATAATGGAACTAGGCTTTCAAGTCGATATGTTAGAACATTGTATTCATTCACTTTTTATTCGTCCTAAAAATCTTGTCTTAATTATTCTTATGGATTCTTGATAATTTTAATTTGTTTGCAAGTTTTTATTGATCGTTTGATAAAATAAAATAATCTATTATATATGTAAAAAAACATTTATGTATTCTTGAATGGTAGAATTTGTTGATTTTATTTTTATACTACTAATTTGTGAATAAAATAATTATAAATAACAATGTTGCTTTACACATTGTTCGAAGTGGGACAAAATTTTTAAGGACTGAGTGTTGCCAATTATATCCTTTAGTATTATTTACTCCATTACAATATATTAACTATATATTGAATATGTTTGAGCATAAAAATTTTTGTGATTTTCTATTTTTAAAAAATACTGTACAAAGCAAAAGATACTCTCCCTCTCAATTTAAGTTGTATATTTCTTATTTACAGGTCTAAATTATATATATATATATATATATATATATATATATATATATATATTATTTTCATTACTCGTCTGATTAAAAAATGTAGTCATTTAACTTCTTTTTGTAATGCTTTTGATGTACATATTTTTAAACACGTACTCCCGTTGTCCCTAAATATTTGTTACACTTGTATTCCTGAGATAAAATATCAAATTTTTTCAATTCAGTTTATTTACATTTGGTATAGAAATAAAAAATAAAACTTACATATCGAAAAACTAAATGAAAAGTTTTTTTTTGAAATTAAAGGTGTCAAGAATATTTTATTTTATCAAATAACTAATGAAAATATAGAAATAAACAAAAGTTCTCGCGACTGTTAAAAAAGCAAGTGTGGCAAATATTTTGGGACGGAGAAAGTAATTTTTATTTTATACTACGTAATATCTCTGATTTTCATATAAATTATTTTGAGGATGAAATCAATCATTATACCGAGTAAATCGCAATCTAAATTAAACAAGGTAAATGCTAGGGTGCCACCACATGAGTGCTACCATGGGTGCACCCATAATTACTGCGACACTCTAGCATGGTCCATTAAACAAACTAACAAAGTACATTTCCGGACATACACTGACCTGGTTGATTCCTATTGGTAGTGATAGCAGCCTCTACGTGGCAAAGTACTCCGTATATCTACAGTTCCCCAAAAACCCGTCGAACAAAATCGCCGCTTCAGCATTTCACGTTTCTTTTCCCAGATTCCGATCGCCGGATCTTAGAAAGGGGAATCGCCGACCGGAGATGCGAAATAGGAGAATTAAGCACCTCAGCTACCTTCTTCTGGTACTCGTAGCCCTATTTCCGGCTGCTACACTCGGCCGGCAATTCGTCCTCGTCATCTCACAGGACGATCTCAAGGACCATGGAACTGATCCCGGCGCAGCCCCCGTTGAAACGGATTCCACGGAGTCTGAATTCGACGATTTTATAATCTCCGACGCAAAACCTGACCACGAGCTCGACCCGGGATCATGGAGTCCGATCTTCGAGCCCGGACGGGATCCGGCGAGTCAAGACGATCTGGAGGCTGCGTACTATCTGGCCGTGAGGAAGATGGTGACCGCTTGCAGCCGGGGGGACGTGAGGGGCATGGAGGAGGCCGGGTCTGAGATGGAGGCCACGGCTGCTGCTGGGCACCCGCACGCGCAGTCAGTCCTGGGGTTTTTGTACGGTACCGGTATGACAAGGGAGAAGAACAAGGCCAAGTCTTTTTTGTACCACCATTTTGCTGTTGAAGGCGGCAATATGCAGTCCAAGATGGCTCTTGCTTATGCGTACTACCGCCAAGAAGTAAGATTGTTTCCTCCCATATCTCAATTTCACTGATGTATAGCCCTCTGTCCCAATTTTCCATTTTGGCCTGTCCCAAAGAGTTTGTACAATACAGTAGTTGGTCATATTTGTGTAGTTCATAGTCATCCATACTTTACATACTCAATAATTCCAACTTATTTCTAATTTTCCTCATTTTGCATACTCATCCCTTCTAATGCATTTATGAGGATTCCATATCAATAGCCATTGTGTTTTGTCTATTGTTGATTTGTTGTGTAGTAGATTTTAGTTGCATACTAGTTTCTCTAGCAGCAAAATGCTTAACTTTATGTTCATGCTGGAAATGTTAGTAGAGTTTCTTCAAGTTGAACCATAGCAAATCTTGAATTCTGAAATGCTATTTCTTGCCTTATTTTTAGCCATCCAATCATGTTCAACCATTTTGAATTTAACAAGCAGTGATTACTCACGCACCTGCTTGTTGGATTGCAACGGTCTAATCCAATTGATGCTTGATATTATGACAAACGCTAGTTTATTTTTGAGAAAAGTGGCAGTTTGGAAAACCTGGGACCTTTCTCCATTTTCCAATGTTGGAAGAGCATGTGAGACATGGTTTCTTCTAATGTTTTATTTTCAATTTTAATATTAGTTTTTCTTTAAGATGCATGAGTGAAATATTATATATGCATGAATTCTGTGTTCACTGTCTGCAGATGCATGATAAAGCAGTTACACTGTATGCTGAATTGGCAGAGGTGGCTATAAATAGTTTTCTAATTTCAAAGGACTCGCCTGTGATTGAACCAGTTCGGATACATAGTGGAAGTGAGGAAAACAAGGAAGCATTGAGAAAGTCTCGGGGAGAAGAGGACGAGGACTTCCAGATTTTGGAATACCAAGCACAGAAAGGGAATGCAGGGGCAATGTACAGAATTGGTATATTTTACTACTTTGGATTGAGAGGAGTGAGACGTGATCATTCCAAGGCATTATCGTGGTTCTTGAAGGCTGTCGAAAAGGGTGAGCCAAGGTCAATGGAACTTCTTGGTGAAATTTATGTGAGAGGAGCAGTAGTTGAGAGGAACTACACCAAGGCATTAGAGTGGCTATCACTTGCTTCCAAGCAACAACTCTATTCAGCCTATAATGGCATGGGATATCTTTATGTAAAAGGTTATGGCGTGGAAAAGAACTATACCCAGGTAGTGGTTTATCATGTTTTATTTGAATTTTCTTTTCCCTTTTGTGTTTTTGACTTGCCTAGGGTTTTCTCATCGAGAAGCTTACTTTCCCTTTGGTGTGTTGCTATCTGATAACCTTCTATTGCAGGCAAAAGAGTATTTTGAAAAGGCTGCTGATAATGATGAGCCTGGCGGATTCTACAACCTTGGTGTGATGTATCTGAAAGGACTTGGGGTAAAAAGAGATTTAAAGCTGGCCAGCAAGTATTTTATAGGAGCTGCTGATGCGGGTCAGCCAAAGGCTTTTTATCAATTGGCAAAAATGTTCCACACTGGTGTGGGGCTTAAAAAGAATGTTCCAATGGTAAGCCAGCTAAGCTGCACACCAACCTCTTTGCCGTCCCTTCCGAAGTATCAGTCAGCCATCTTAAATTTGTAAAACACGCCTAGAATTTCTAGATCACATCATGTGTTGTTATATGATCATAGTCATCATGCAAGTATATATATAATTGGAAGAGTTTGCAGGGTTTGGTGGATTGGAGGGTTATACTAGTGCATGCTTGTGTTGACATTCAGTAACCGTATATTGTGTCTACTATAAATCGCCACGCTTCTATTGGCATTCATTAATGGTTTTTGTGTAAAATTCAAAATGCCTAATATCTGAGCTTGAGCACATGATTTATGTTTTTATGGATTCTAGTAAAAACTTGCTAAATGGTGCCCACAAGTATAATAATCATTCTTTTCTGTGATTTCAGGCAACTGCCTTGTACAAACTAGTTGCAGAACGTGGACCATGGAGTTCTTTGTCTAGATGGGCATTAGAGTCATATCTGAAGGGAGATATTGGGAAGGCTTTTCTACTGTACTTGAGGATGGCAGAGTTGGGCTATGAGGTTGCACAAAGTAATGCAGCTTGGATTCTTGACAAATATGAACCAGGGACTATGTGCATGGGAGCATCTAGCATTTGCACAGATGCAGAGAGGCATCAGCGCGCACATGCCTTGTGGTGGCAAGCTTCTGAGCAGGGTAATGAACATGCTGCTCTACTCATCGGAGATGCATATTATTATGGTCGGGTATGTTAATGAATAGTTCTTAAATATTTACGTAGTACTCCATCTGTCCCAAAGTGGTTTACACTATTCAAACAACATGCAAACTCTTGTACTGCTAACTTTTAAAAATTTTTTATTTACAAATTGGTATAGGAATAAAAAGTACAAATTACATATTTAAAAACTACTAAAAAAGCTCTACAAAACAAGAGATGACAAGAATGTTTTATTATACTTCCTACGTCCCTAAATATTCACAACATTTGCTTTTTCAGCAGTGTCGGGAACTTTTATTTTTTTGTGTTGTTCTCTTGGAAGCAGCCTCCCTACTTCCGAGTAGGGGCAAGGTCTGCGTACACACACCCTCCCCAGACCCTATTGTTGTGGGATTCAACTAGGTTGTTGTTGTTGTTTTGTTGTATTTGATAAAATAAAATATTCTTGACACCTCTTATTTCGAAGAACTTTTCATGTAGTTTTTTTATATGTAAATTTTATTTTTTATTTATTTACCAATATGTAAATAAAATGAATTGAAAAAACTTGATATTTTGCCTCGGGAATACAAATGTGGCAAATAATTTGGGACGGAGGGAGTATCAAATAATCAATGAATACATGCAAACAAACAAAAATTATCGAGAGGCCGTAAGAGTAACAGTGTAACTCATTTTGGGATGGAGGGAGTATTAAATAATGCTATCTAACCATTCTTTGTTATAATCCCCTTGTTGGTCTAACCCCCTCGGCATATCATTTTTAAAACAGGGTACTGACAGAGATTATGAGCGTGCAGCGGAAGCTTATATGCATGCCAAATCACAATCCAACTCTCAAGCCATGTTTAATCTGGGATACATGCATGAGCATGGACAGGGATTGCCATTCGATCTTCACCTTGCAAAGCGTTACTATGATCAAGCATTGGATAATGATCCTGCAGCAAAACTCCCTGTAACACTGGCCCTTGCAAGCTTGTGGATAAGAACAAACTATGCTGACAGCTTCCTGGTATCTCTTTTTCTCTTTTCACCCTTCTGTTGCTCCACAAATATTTGTGTGTTCATCCTCTCCTAAATGTACTTTTAGATGGAGGGGGAGGGGTACTATTCATTTCCCTCTCCAAAATATTCCAACCAAACACAAATCAAGTTAAAATTTCCCCTTAATTCTCCTCCCCTTCGTTCCAACAAACCAAACAGGATACCTCTCCCCTACAACCAAACACACCCTAAAAAGAACGATAGTAGGTTACACATCTTGTATCGCCAAGATGTTAAAGTTAACTAGCATATCTTTTGTTGACTTATATTGTACAGGTTCACGTGATTGATTCGTTTCCGGATGTTTACCCAAAATTGGAAATATGGGTGGAGGACGTTCTAATGGAAGAAGGGAACGCCACAATACTCACACTCATCGTTTGCCTGTTAACTGTGCTTTACCTACGCGAGCGCCAACGAAGACATGCTGCTGCTTTAGTCGGACAGGCTCCCCCTCATCAGCCGGATGGGCAGGGTGCACCCGTAGCCAATTAACTCTTACTAAAATATGTAAACATTGGTCGAATTGTGGTTTTGTGGAGGTGGTGGCATCTTCCCATAGTGCTGCTGTACAGAGGCTCTATTTACATCCCATTGCTAAAAAGGAAAACTGTCTTTTTGTTTGCCATTTCCAGCCTTCTTGCAGTCTGTAACATTGGGTATTGTCAGTCGTGAGCAAGTGGGAATTTCTTTAGGAGAAAAGTTGTATTTTAAGTAATTTAACATAGTCACAGAGATACAACATTTGATCGAATCTGTGTCCCGGAAAACATACGAAGACATTCATTTATGTGAAATTTGCAATAAATAGGACTAAAACATAATGATTTTTCTAATGTAGGACTTAAACTTTTTTATTCCCTAAATAGGACTAAATAATGACCTCGTGGAGGAATAATGTCCAGTAATACTAGACATTTACTTGAATAATGACTACTTTGTTAATGACCAAAAGTCTTACATTGGGAAATAAAAACAAATGGTCCTATATTGGGAAAGTCATTATGTTTTAGTCCTATTTAGGTAAATTTCTCTTCATTTATTCAGTAACGTTTTTGGTTCTGTTTGGGATAAAGTCATAATGGGTCTATGTATTTCATTCAATAATTTGTCCTCAAGATATCTTAATGTGTCCTCTGTACCTTGACTTCATTGATTTCAACTTTCAAGTAAAGGCTATGTATTTCTCCATACAGTTAAGCCAATTGTACGGTGTTTTATGAGTAGTTGAATACTACCTCTGTTCCAGGATATTTGTCCACTTTTATTTTACACATCATCCAATACACTTCTTTAATCCATTTTATCTTGTAATTGGTATATTGAAAAATTATAGAAATTATATATTAATAATCTATATGTTAAGACAAATCAAACAAGATCACACATGACTATATTTAGGCTTACACATTAAGAGAATTTGATGAGTCAAAGTGCTTTGATGAACAGTTCCAAAAGTCAAAAGTGGACGAATACTTCGGGACGGAAAGAATATTCATTTTTGAGCAGTTGAATAGTCACTTTCGAATAGTTGAATACTCGTTTTTCTAAAATTTGGTTATGCTCGAAAATGAATATTTATGTGGATGTACGGTATAATCATTTTTGAATAATTGAATGCTCATTTTTCTAAAATTTGGTTATGCTTGAAAATGAGTATTCAACTACTCAAAAATGAGTATTATGTGGATGTATGGTATAATCATTTTTGAATAATTAAATAATCATTTTTCTAAAATTTGGTTATACTCGAAAATGAGTATTCAGCTACTCGAAAAGGAGTATTTATGTGGATGTACGGTATAATCATTCTCGAATAATTGAATACTCATTTTTCTATAATTTGGTTATGGTCAAAAATGATTATTCAACTACTTGAAAATGAATATTTATGTGGATGTATTGTATAATCATTTTCAAATAATTAAATACTCATTTTTCTAAAATTTGGTTATGCTCAAATTTTGTATTTAGCAACTCGAAAATGAGTATTTATGTGGATGTACGGTATCATCGTTTTCGAAAAATTGAATACTCATTTTTCTAAATTTTGGTTATGCTAAAAAATGAGTATTCAACTATTCGAAAATGAGTATTTATGTGGATGTACGGTTTAATCATTTTTGAATAATTGAATACTCATTTGTCTAAAATTTGGTTATGCTCGAAAATGAGTATTTATGTGGACATATGGTATAATCATTTTTGAATAATTGAATACTCATTTTTCTAAAAAAATTTTATGCTCGAAAATGAGTATTCAGCTACTCAACAATGAGTATTTATGTGGGTGTACAATATAATCATTTTCGAATAACTGAATACTCATTTTTCTAAAATTTGGTTATGCTAAAAAATGAGTATTTGGCTACTTGAAAATGAGTATTTGTGTAGATGTACGGTATAATCATTTTCAAGTAATAGAATACTCATTTTTCTGAAACTTGGTTATGCTCAAAATTGAGTATTCGGCTACTCGAAAATGAGTATTTATATGGATGTACGATATAATCATTTTTGAATAATTGAATGCTCATTTTTCTAAAATTTGGTTATGCTTGAAAATGAGTATTCAGCTACTCAAAAATGAGTATTTATGTGAATGTATGGTATAATTATTTTCGAATAATTGAATACTCTTTTTAAAAAAAAATTGTTTATGCTAAAAAATGTGCACTAAACTACTCGAATCTAAGTATTTATGTGGATGTACCGTATGTATAAGTTCTTTAGAGTCTAGATTATTGTGTATGAGCATATCTCAAGGGAAAAGGGTGGGTGTGTACACATAATTATAGAATGTGCAGCGACGTTGGTCACTATGTATGTCCTCGCTTGTTTCCACAAGTTATGTAAAATTTGATTAAATCACATACATTACTTTATTGTAGAATTTACTTGAAATAATGTAGAATTATTGTTTTAATGGATTAAACTATAATTACTATTTGATTAAATCACATTACCTTATTGTAGAATTTACCTAAATAGTACTAAAACATAGTGATTTTCCTAATGTGATACCATATGTTTTTATTTCTCAATGTAGTGCCACTGGTCATTGTCCACTGGTCATTAGTCAGGTAAATGTCCACTGCTACTGGACTTTGTTCAAGCTTAATGTCCACCATAACTGGACATTGTTCCAATCACTAGACATTATTTAAGTACTATTTAGAGAATAAAAAGGTTTAACTACTATATTGAGAAATGACATATGTTTTAGTACTATTTAGTACAAATTTCACTACTTTATTTAAAGCTACACACACCTAAATATTAATTAATATTATAACTTTAAATTTGTTATTATTATTATTATTATTATTATATCAACAACAAATTATCATTACTAGTAATTGTTTAGCTTGTAGAAATGATGCATGAAATCAAAATTAAGACTTAAAAAATTATATTTTTCATATTCTAAGAGTTTTTTTAAAATACTTGTTTATAAAAACACATTTGTTTATAAAAGAATTATACTCCCTCTGTCCCCATTTTTATTACAATTTTATTTTTTCTCTCCTCTCGACAACTTTTGTTTATTTTCGTGTTTTCATTGATTATTTGATAAAATAAAATATTCTTATCACCTCTTGTTTTGTAGAATTTTGGACATACTTTTTAATATGTAATTTTTATTTCTTATTGATTTACCAATTTGTAAATAAAATAATTTCAAAAATCGTGGAATTTTACATCGTAATTCATATTTTGTAATCAAAAAAGGGACGAAGGCAGTACAAAACTTAATTTTTAAAACCATAAATTCTTTTATGCTTAAAAATACTTATTTTTAAACTTAAAAATATTTAATATAGACAAGGGTGAATTTATGACAAAATTAGTTATTGTCAACGGTTTTCTTATTTTACTTTTGTCTATGTATATATGGATTGTAGTACTTTCAAATTATTAAATTTCTTGTAATAATTATAAGGTTAATTTAAATCAAATTTAAATTTAATTACACTAGATCATATTAGATATAATTAGATCAAATCAGATCAAATCAAAGCTTCAAAAATTTAGATCAGATTCAATCATATCAAAGCTACTAAAGACATCTTAAATAGGGTAATGATATTTGTACCTCAAGAATTTGTACCTTTTTTTGTACACCGCAGGAATGCACCAACATTTTGTGTTGGTGTAATGCTAATTTTTGTTAGCACACTAACACTTTGTCTCAGTGTGAATCATCAAAATATTAGTGTATACCTTTAGTGTACAAATGAGATACAAATTTTGTCTGTGTCGCACAGACAGTCTGTGTTTGTCTGTGTGAAGCATGGGTGCACCCATGGTAGCACCCACCCTAGCATTTTCCAAAAATAATTTGGCTCCTCCCTCCCTCCCTCCTCGCGACAAAAAGGCAACAGTAGACGCTTTTGTCTTCTACCAGATAACACAGCTCACAGATGTGTGGGTGGGTTGGTGAGATATACGACTACTGCTACGTAGGTACAATCATTGTGTGTGAGTGAGAGAACGCACCAAACGCCCCCCGCCGGTCCTCCGATTTCCATGCCATTTCTCACTCTCCATCTATATAAACGTTGCTGAAACCCCGCAGTTTCAGATCCCACAATTTCAGTAAGCCGATGCATCAGAGGGGGAGAGTGAACAACCGCATATCCAGGACCTTCTCCAGATCTCGCCTAGCAATCCAGGGCCGTTAGCGCTTTCTTCTCGCCATATACACCAATCGATCGCGCATCCGTTTTCTCTGTAATCTGCGGGATTCGTCTCCGGTTCGTGAAATTCTCAATCTCTGATCTGTAACCATGGCTGCCGTTCCTCAAGGTGTTCTGTGCTTTGATTCTTTCTTTTTTATTTGATTTGATTTGATTTGATTTTTGTTTTGCTATGGGTTGTGATTTAATGTGGTGTGTGTTACAGGAGATGAGCGCGAGATCCAGAAGAAGTACTGGCTGGAGCACTCCTCTGGTCTCACTGTGGAGGCCATGATGCTCGACTCTAAGGCTGCGGATCTCGACAAAGAAGAGAGACCTGAGGTATCCTTTTCTCTTTCTCCTGTCTCTATATATCCTTATAATTAAGTGCCTTTTTGTTAAGGACAGAATGACGGTAGGTAGGGAGTTTGGAACGGTTGAAATTGTTGGAGTTGGGGATGAAATGATTTATTTGGCTGACTGGATCATCTAAAAACAGTTACTTGAGGTGTACTCCCTATATTTTAATAAATTAAAGAAAAATAAATTAAAGAAAAATTTCTAAAAAAGCCAAACATATCAATGCCATCTATATAAGCCAAAAAAAGTAATTCTTCCTGTACTACTTTATTCATGTTTACCCAATTTAATCAGCTCTATAACATTGGAAGTTTGGTGATCTTTTGGATGATAAGCCAAAATTAATGCTTACCAATTAGTCCAGATCTTTGTAATTTAATTCTGTCACTCTTCAGAGCTACACTATTGCATGAATCAGGGTGGAGGATTATGTCGACAATCTTTTCATGAGATTTTAGTTTTTTTTTTCATTTTTTGTTATCGTTGCATGCTCTTTTTATGTATGTGTTACTAACGTATTTATTTCTCCGTCATACAATGGACATTCTACTTTTATAGTAATAATATGCCATTTATCGTGTCAAAGGAAATTGAGGACTCAAAGAGTATTACAACGAATCAAGTTTTCACCATCTATGACTCTACGTAGAACTAATGTCTTGGCCAAATTATATAAGTCCTTAAAGGCATAATATTGGCTCATGATTGCATGAAGAGAATGAGGATAATGTTTAATAATGATTATGAAGACTAATATAGTAATATGCGACTCCACATGCTCATCATTGGCTTGAGACACAATACCATGATTTAAGGGAGTTTGCCTCCTCGCCCTTTGTAACACTCGCCCATGAGTTATAAGACTTTGTCTTCTTCATTTTATTACATAATTTCATGCTCTTTTTGTCATCATGCGGGAGGTTTTTTTGTTGTTAAAAAGATTAGCTAACGATACAAGAATACAAGTTTCTGACAGTCCACCATTTACGATAGTATTCTGCTCACTGTTACAATCCTCCATATGCTACCAAATAACACCAAGGATGAATTAGGTGTATTATCATCTTAATAACCTTTTAAAATCTTGCAACTTTCATGTTCTAACAAGTCATGGTCTTCCTTAAGACAAGCTTCCTTATTTTAAGGAGGGTTTCCATTGAGACATTCGTCCTTAATTTCTGATGTAATCTCTTCAACGTATTCTTTTCCTTTTTCTTTGTGTTTTTTTTGGCCCGGCCAAGGGAGAGTCTCCTATGGATTTAGCTTTGGTTTACTGTTAAACAAAAGCAAATTTAAGACCATTGTGGAAGCTACCCAAAAATCAAATTTGATGTTTCGTGATGTTCTCTTCTTCTTTTGAGCATGGATTTCGGTCAAATGAGAGGGATTGATAGGAAGTCATCACATGCTCCTGTTGGTCGAGTAATTTCGGCCACGAAGGAGGAAAGGGAGTCAAAAGTTTTCTTGTCTGAAATGGACTCCCTTTAGACTTCCTGTGAACCATGTGGATGAAGACTTAGTTGTGTTCTCCTTATTATTGTTGGAAATTTTGCCCAAAGTGATAACAAAGAGGAAAAGACTTTTATTTTGTTTATTGGAAGTGAACACAGATGGAATAAAGGTCAGTATTTGTTATACAGGTAATGCAGATCTCATGAATCGAATGTATAACAGGCAATCTAGTCCTATTATACTACTTTTAAATTCACTTTAAATGAAATATTACTGCTTTCTTAGCATGTGTGCAAATTCATAAAATTACACTTAAAGAGAATGTAGGGAGTAACTTCAGTTGGTTAAAAAGATCCTAATGATTTTCTCATGGACAGAATGGTGATCAGCAAATAGAGCTATCCCTTGACTATTTATTTTCATAATGTGATCATGCTTTTTTCTCAGTTATTTATGTCAAGAGCTTTTTCTCTATATTCCTTTCCCATTTACAATCTGAATGGATTTCATTGTTCTTGAATAGCTTAACGGCACTATTTTTCTTCCTGTGGGTCAATTGAACTAAACCTCACTATGATTTTCTTATTCAGGTTCTTTCTCTTCTTCCGCCATATGAAGGAAAATCAGTGTTGGAGCTAGGTGCTGGTATTGGGCGTTTCACTGGTGAATTAGCCCAAAAAGCAGGGAAACTTATTGCATTGGACTTCATTGAAAGTGCAATCAAGAAGGTTTATGATATTTTCTTTGAGGATTGTCTTTCATTTTGCACAAATTTTGTGAGGGCTATTGTTTTTAAAAAAATCATGTGTTCCTAAATGAAGTTATCTTTTTTTATTTTCACAGAGTTTAAGGTAAAAATTCTATGGTTGGGTTTTGTGCAGGGGAGAGAGATAGTATGAACCACAACTTTTTCATAAAAGGAAAGTGATAAACTGATAACTTAGTTCAACAATCGAGGGAGTAATAAAATTTTCAAATGTAAAATGTCTTTGTGTCCCATCTATTTTCTCAGATTTTAAGTCAGGTAAAAATTTTGTGGTTGGGTTTTGTGCAGGGGAGAGAGATAATATGAACCACAACTTTTTCATAAAAGGAAAGTGATAAACTGATAACTTAATTCAAGGATGGGGGGAATAATAAGATTTTCAAATGTAAGATGTCTTTGTGTCCCATCTAACCTAGACCATGCATTCTGAGGACACACATTTAAGAACAAGTAGAAGGCGGGCACAAGGGGTCAGCGATTTGAGATTTGCTGTGATTAGCCTTCCTGCTTTCTTTAGTTTAGTGTTTCAATTAGTATTCATGTTTGCTTCCGCAATTCATTAGGTCTATTTTCTAGCATGCATCAGCCTATTATATGTACATGAACTTTGGATTCTTCCTATAACGAGGAGCGGAATTAGCACTTTGGAACATAACCAAAATTAGGAATCATCATGGAGTACCGGATCTCAAGCAAAACCAGCCCCACTCTGCCCTTAGTATTTGCCATCATTCATTCGTGTAAAAGCTTGTGATGCTTAGTTTAGTGCGTATAATTTCAAATTTAACCCAGGTCCTTGTTTGAGAGCACGGGGTATGCTGACAACCATTTGACGTTTAGGTTTCAATTAATTGTTTGTGTTTCCTATTATAGGCTTCTTCTTTTTATTTTTTAAATGCATAAACTTTGGATTTTTACTCGCTAAAGAGGAGAAGAATTTACATCTTTGGAATACAATGGTAAATTAGCAATTAAATTAGGGAGTTTTGAGACCTCAAGCAAGCATGCCCTATTGTGCCATTCTTGCATTGTGCCTTTTTTGGTCTTGCAAAAGCTTCGCGACATTTAGCATGTGTTACTATAAAATTAGTTAAAAGCATTTTGTTTTAACATACTGTGTTTAAATGCAGAATGAAGCCACCAACGGGCACCATAAAAATGTCAAGTTTATGTGTGCTGATGTGACCTCTCCTGAGCTGAACTTTGCTGAAGAGTCTCTAGATCTAATATTCTCAAACTGGTTACTGATGTATCTTTCTGACAATGAGGTGATTTTTCGGGTCTTTACTCTTGTTATTACATGCTACTGAGGATATGGGGTGTACGTGGCAGATGTGCTGTTTAGCAAACTACTTAGAGAATAGATATGTTATACTCCGCTGTTGGAAAGTAACTGGTAGACATGAATCATTATTCATATATATAAATTTAAATTAGGAATATAAATCACACATTAATTAAAAGCATGTATAGATGAGAATTCATACCAAAAAAAGGTCCAAATCTTCAAGTGGCACAAATGAGAACATGTTGGAATCTTCAGTCTCACTTTCCCTCTAACATGTAGTGTATTATCATAGTTTGTAAGGTGCCAATGTACCTTCATATCGCCTAGACAATTAGGCGCACGCCTAGGCGTCCTGTATGTATGTATGTATGTATGTATGTATGTATTTATGTATTTATGTATGTATGTATGTATGTATGTATGTATGTATGTATGTATGTATGTATGTGTGT